GCCTGAGGCATTCCCCAGGAACAGGGATAAGACCTCAGGGAATCTGTAAGGCTCCTGAATGTGTATGTAAAAAGTGTTCCTGCCCGGGGGAGAGGGCTGGAAGCTTTTCTAGGTTCAAAGGTGTCCGTGAACAATGAAGATTTAAGTCTGCCTGAGTGGGTGAGGATTCAGGACAAAGGGCGGCTATTCAAATCCTTCCCGTTAAAATAACAGTGACTCCAAGCTGTGTTCTGCAAGACAAAACACTCCTAGTGCCCCCTCCCAATATAACATAGGAGGGACTCTTGGAGCCTCACTTTCTGCCTGCTTCTACATGTGTGACCTTAGTCAAGGTTTTTAACCTCTCTCGGCCTCAGTTTCCACATTGGTGAAATCGGGATCATTTATTTCGCACATTTATTTGTGCGAATTAAATAATACATGTAAAATACTTAGAAGAGTGCCTGATACATAGTAAGTGCTTTATATGGGTGTGTTAAAGAAAAGTTTTCAAACTCCTGGTTCTGTATGTTTAAGGGGCCTCAGCTTCCCCTTTGGGCTCCTCACTGTCTCCCCATACCCTTCTGTCTGCCTAGGTATGAGCTCATGTACCAGTGCTGGAGCGCTGACCCCAAGCAGCGCCCGAGCTTCACATGCTTACGGATGGAGCTGGAGAGCATCCTGGGCCACCTGTCAGTGCTGTCCACCAGCCAGGACCCCTTGTACATCAACCTTGAGAGAGCCGAGGAGCCTGAGGAGGGAGGCCGCCTGGAGCTGCCTGGCAGGGACCAGGCCAGCGGCGGGGCTGGGGATGGCAGTGGTGTGGGGGCGATGGGGGGCACCCCCAGTGACTATCGGTACATCCTCAGCCCTGGGGGGCTAGCTGAGCAGCCTGCGCAGGAGGAGCAGCAGCCAGAAAGCCCCGTCAGTGAGGGCCAGAGGCTGCTGCTTCTGCAGCAAGGGCTACTGCCCCACAGTAGCTGTTAGCCCACAGGAAGAGGGCGTCCCGAGCCATGCTGCTGGCTCTGCTGGCCCGCCGCTGGCTGAGGAAGCCCTTTCTGACCCCAGCCCAGGCAGCAAGGCATGGAGGCTCCTGTGGTAGTCCTCCCAAGCTGCGCTGGAAGCCTGGACTCACCAAATCGCCCAATCCCAGTTCTTCCTGCGGCCACTCTGGCCTGCCTGGTGTCAGTTCAGGCCTTGGCTGGGTGGAGGTGGGCCAGGCCTGGTTGTCTAAACCCAGGCAGCTGGCAGGAGGGGGGAGGTTATGTTTCCATGGTTACCATGGGTGTGGAGAGGATTTGGGGCAGGGTAGATCTAGCCCTGTGGGCCCCTACTCTCTGGCTGAGCTGCCCCTGCTGCTTTAGTGCATGCATTGAGGTGTCTCTGACCAGGGGCCAGCTCTGCACATGCTTGGGGTTTAAATGCCCAGGTTTGCTCCTCCTCACAAAGAGATGCCCTTGTATTATTCCCTTTAGGTGAGAGTTGGTAAGGGGTTGATACAGGCGGGTCCCAAGCCCTATGGTAGGAGACAGTGGGGCATTCTCAGGTCTGAATCGTTATCCCCTTCCTGATGACCCACCTACCCTGCCTAGGCCAGGAGTAAAGTGCAGCTTTACTGACCAGGTCACAGCAAGGCATGCTGGATTACTGCAGGCTACCATTTGTCCAGCCCATAAGGGCAGTGCACTAAGCCTGGCAAGAGGAAGGGGTGCTGTAGGCCCTGCCCAGAAATGCGTGGGGCCAGAGAGGAGTCCAGGAGCCCCTCTTTACGCCCTCCCACAGTCTGTCTGAGCATGCTACCAAATCCCAAAATATCCTAAGACTAACAGAAGCAGCTGTGTCTGAGCTCAGTCCTTCCACGCAGCATCCATCCCTTAGTCCCAATTTTCCCTCTCTGGAGACCCTCTTCTGTCCCAAGTCTCCAGAGAAAGAGAGAAAATAGGCCTGATGGCTGACGTGGGTGAGGGGGAGTTACTGGAGCCTGGACCCCAGCCTTGCTAGGGGAGCCCCCTGGATTGCATGGGGCAAGGCCCTTGCTGTTAGGGATATTTCCAAGCCGTTAGAAGCTGTTTAAAAACAGAAATAAAATTGAGAACTAAAGACTCAAGGCTTTGTCTCTTAACTGTTTACTTTTTTCCAGATCACAAAAATGAAGCATCTCTACATAGAGAAAAGTCTGGAAAGACATATGCCAAAATGTTAACAGCTGTTATCTTTACATGATGTGAGTTAAGGGGACTTGTTTTCCTTTGTGCCTTCCAAGTTTTTTGCATTGAGCACAAAATGCTTTTGTAATTAGGGGCGCATGGGTGGCTCAGTTGGTTAAATGTCCGACTCTTGGTTTTGATGCAAGTCATGATATAGGTAGTTTGTGAGTTTGAGCCCCACGTTGGGCTCCGTGCTGACAGTGCACAGCCTGCTCGGGATTCTCTCTCCACTCTCTCTTTGCCCCTACCCCACTTGTGCTCTTTCTCTTTCTCTGTCACTCTCCTCTCAAAAATAAACTTTAAAAAAAAGCTTTTGTAATTAGAGAAGAGCCAAAGAATATTATCACGTTAAAGATAATACATAGGGTGCCTGGGTGGCTCAGTTGGTTGAGCGTCCGACTTTAGCATAGGTCATGATCTTGCGGTTTGTGAGTTCAAGCCCCGCGTTGGGCTCTGCTGAGAGCTTGGAGCCTGCTTCGGATTCTCTGTCTCCCTCTCCCTGTGCCCCTCCCCTGCTCACACCCTCTTTCTGAAGAATAAGTAAAGATAATACATAGTCATTGTAGAAAATTAGGAAAATGTAGAAAATCATCCTACCACCTAGAGATAACCACCCTTGATCTTTTAAAATGTAAATGTTATGGAAAGGTTCTTTTTCTTGGAACAAGGACAAAGACTACTTTGGCTGTCTCCTACCCCTCTGTCAGACTTTCCTTCTATCATTGGGTGTGGAGCCTTTGTTCTCACCTTTACATTGTTGCTGGGAGCCAGGGGAAACTCAGGGGAAGAAATGGGCTAAGAGAATGGCATGCCTCTTAAGCATTAGAAATAAGAGCATAAAGTTTGCTTCCAAGTATTTCCACTGGAAAATTTTAGGTTAGAAGCTTTCAGAGCAAACTCATGAGAATATGTAGCAGGAGGCGTGAGAACTGGGCCCCTCTCTGTGTGGAGGGGTGTGGGAAGACAGGGAGGGACACAGGTATTGCCCTGCTGGCTGAGAGCAGTGGAATGAGGCGGGTGCTTCTGAAAGCAAATATCCTGAAAAACCTGTTGCTGGCATCCCAGATTCTGGTTCCCACGTGGATCATAAGACCTGAATTCACTTCCAGGGAAATGGCTTTCAGAATGTTTCCTGCTGTGATTGGCTTTAACTGCCTGTAATGATTATCTGTGTGGTAATGTTTGAGAATTCTTGATTGAGGAGACCTTTACTCTCAAATCATTATTTACCATTAATGGGCTCCTGTTATGTGCTAGGCACTGTGCCAAGCACTTCGTCTGTATTATCTCATTTAATACAGAGAGCATTCCTGTAAGATGGGATAGGATAGAAATGCAGGATAAGTAACTTGTCCAAGGTTATGTAGTTAATGAATGGTCAATCAATTCAGGCTTGAAACCCACTAAATCAGAGTCCCCTAAAGACTGCTTTTTCCCTCCCTACCATTCCAGAGAGCACCTTAAACAGTTCTGTCATAATCATATTATCTTTTGGGTGAATGCAGGTCAGTACTAGGTACCTTTTAAAGTGTACAAGGGTTATGATAAGAGTATGTGTGTGTGTGACAAAGTGAGAGTCATCTACCAGTAATTAAATCTGTGTAAATAATTTTCTCAGCTCAGTCTCTCTTCCCCAAGTGTCTTGGCCCCCCATGATCAAGGGGTTTGAGGTAGGTGATAATAATGGCATTTTTTTTTTAATGTTTATTTATTTTGACTGAGGCGGGGGGGTGGTGAGGGGTAAAGTGAAAGAGAGAGAGAGAGAGAGAGAGAGAGAGAGAGAGAGAGAGAGAAAATCCCAGGCAGGCTCCACACTGTCAATGGCTGACATAGGGCTCCTTTTCACAAACCATGAGATCATGACCTGAGCCAAAATCAAGAGCCGGTTGCTTAACCAACAAGGCTTTTTTATTTAAATTTTTAAAAATGTTAATAATTACTTCTGAGAGAAGAGAGAGAATGGGGAGGGGTAGAGAGAGCGGGAGACACAGAAAATGAAACAAGCTCCAGGCTCTGAGCTGTCAGCACAGAGACCGATGCGGGGCTCGAACCCACGAACCACAAGATCATGACCTGAGCCAAAGTCAGAAGCTTAACCAACTGAGCCACCCAGACACCCCATGATAGTGGAGTTTTTAAAAACCTTTTTTGGGGGGCATGTGGGTAGCTCAGTTGGTTAAGCGTCTGACTCTTGACTTTGGCTCAGATCATGATCTCATTGTCATGGGATCAAGCCCTGTGTTGGGCTCCACAATGAGTGTGGGCCCTGATTGGGGTTCTCTATCCCTCTCCCACCCCTCCTCCTGCTCTCTCTTGCTCTCTCTAAATAAATAAACATTGAAAGAATAAATAAAAACCTTTTTTTTGAAGTATAGGATTTATCCCCCCAAAATATGCCAATCAGAAGTGCACAATCCTTAAGAATTTTTCACAAACAGATCCAAATAACCAGCAACCAGATCAAGAGACAACATTACCAGCACTCCAGAAGCAACTTTTTAGGCCCTGCACCAGCCTCTGCCTCCTCCCCCCTCCCCAAAGGTAACCTCTATCCAGATTTTTAACATCATGGATTAAAATACTCCTTTTTAAAGTTCATGTAGAGTCATACAGGTTGGATTATTTTGTGTGCGCTTTCTTGTACTCTGCAGTGTGTTTTCCAGAATCATCTAACCACAGCAATTTTGAGAAGTGGTGGTCAAAAAGAAGAGACAAGAGTAGAACAGTCGTTTTGTTCTGTTTTATATTTTTGTTTTTTATCAATGTACCTAGCTCAGTGCCTCTCATACTTCAAACAAGATCCCCAGACAGATCACCTGGGACTCTTATTAAAATGTAGACTCTGATTCAGTAGGTCTGGGGTGGGGCCTGAGATTCTGCATTTCTAACTAGCTCTAAGGTGATGCTGATGCTTCTGATCCACACTTTGATGTGCAAGCACTATTCTCCATCAATAATTTGAAAGGGTGCAGCAAGTATTTGCAAACTCATTCAGTGACTGCAACATAGAATCATTCTAACAGAATAACACTAATGGAAAAGATCGGAGCATAATTTAATTTCTACATCTTATAAAATTTAATTACTTTTTATGTGTTTCTGATTGATATCTTTCTACTTTAAAATATTATTTTTTCAAATAGATGTCAAATACCCATGGTAAACAATTTTTAAAGTATAGAACGGTAGGGGCAGCTGGGTGGCTTAGTTGGTTAAGTGTCTGACTGACTCCGGCTGAGGTCATAATCTCACAGTTTGTGAGTTCCAGCCTTGCATCGGGCTCTGCTGTCAGCGTGGAACCCACTTCAATAACTTTTTTTTTTGTAATGTTTATTTATTTTTGAGAGAGACAGACAGAGTGTGAACAGGGGAGGGGCAAAGAGAGAGAGGGAGACAGAGAATCTGACACAGGCTCCAGGCTCTGAACTGTCAGCACAGAGCCCAATACTGGGCTCAAACCCATGAACCAAGAGATCATGACCTGAGCCGAAGTGGGATGCCCAACAGAACCACCCAGGTGCCCGAACTTGGAGCCCACTTCAGGTCCTCTGTCCCCCTCTCTCTGCCGCTCTCCTGCTCACTTGCTCTTTCAAAAATAAATACTAAAAAAATACATGTAGAAAGGCAGACAATGAAAATAAGTTGCCTTGTGCTTAGCTCTTAAGTTTCTATTCCCAGAGGCAACCACTGTTACTGATTTTTTGTGAAATTTTCAATAAGCTATACACTTATATTTTTGTTTTGCACAAGTGGTGGGTTATTGTACATGTTGTTTTGCCC